TTCACAACCAAGGCAAGGAGGGCAATTATGAAGCAAAGTTTATCTTGGTTGTCTTTCTCCTTTGTCCCAGTGAGAATATTTTCCACCTTCCTCCTTCTGGCAGCTCCCTCTTGCCTCAGTCCCATTCTTATTCAAGGCTAGCAATCAATTTCTCCTGAATCATTAGATAAGTAAATTGTTTTCTGCTGAAGTCATAGTTCAGTATTTCCCATAACCATTCTCTTTCCATTTAATGGCCCTCTGATAGATTCAAGATAGCGACAAATTCTTTTGACACTCTTCTCATCGAGACAGGTCTTTGTCTGCATTCCTTGTAGGGGCAGGCTCTGGAACTGCCCCGGCCAACTGAATGGCAGAAGTGACTCTGTGTCAATTTGCAGGTCCAGGCCTTAAGAAACTGACAGGTTCCTCTTCCTATTGCTTGGGAGGCTAGCTTTTAGAGAAGCCAACCACCATATAAGAAGTCTGATCACCCTGAACCAACATACTATAAGAAGCCCAAACCTCATGGAGAGACCCTGGAGAATATGACACTTGCCAGGGTGGGGGAGACTGGGAGAGGAAGAAAGAGAGACAGAGACCAGAGAGCACAGAGGCTCCAGACATGCGAATTAAGAAGCCATCTTGGAAGAGGACGTTCCAGCCCCTGGCATTCCAGTCACAGGTACTCCAGCTGATGCAACACCAGCTAAATTCTTTCTGAATTCCTGACCCAGAAAATCATAAGCAAAATCAAATGGTTGTTTTAAATCACTAAAATGTAGGATAGCTTGTTATGCAGCAATAGATAACCAGAATACCACCTGTAGAAGGAGGGATATCAGTGATACAGCATCAACCACTCACCCCCACCAAACAACTCACTAGAATGATTGACACTGTTGTTCAGAAGTGAATATGGGAACCTTCAAGACTTTCTACCCCATAAGAATCAAAACTCGCCAAAACCGGTTTGGCTCAGTGGATAGAGATAGTAAGAGTAAAGACATAGCAGTCTATCATCAACTAATCTGTTATCATCCTTTGGGCTGGCTCACCTGTAGAAGGAGGGATATCAGTGATACAGCATCAACCACTCACCCCCACCAAACAACTCACTAGAATGATTGACACTGTTGTTCAGAAGTGAATATGGGAACCTTCAAGACTTTCTACCCCATAAGAATCAAAACTCTTTAAAGACTAGACTATCCCCTCTGCAACAGAGATAGTAAGAGTAAAGACATAGCAGTCTATCATCAACTAATCTGTTATCATCCTTTGGGCTGGCTCTTTTTGTGGCCCATCAATATTTTAATAACTCAAATCCAGATGTGCTGTCATTATCATAAGGCAGAATAATTCTTTCTTGAGCACAAACATCGCTCCAAGTATTGTTCAGTATTGTAAAAACGACCTTCAAAATCTCCAAAACAGTACGTATTCCTATAGTAACCCCAAAGTCTGGGTTAAATCCTTAAGAAGGTCATTGGCACTTGCAGAATTCCTTTTCTCATTAAAAGCTACAAAGCCTTACCCTTCATTCCTTTTGCGTCACCAGATTATGTTCTTTAGAAGCATTCTGGGAAACCTCAGATTTTATTGAAGGTTGAATTTGAAAAACTGACTCTGAATAAAAAGTTGAGAACATCCTACTCCATCTCTGTTTCCAATTCTATTTTTACTCTAAGAGTTCTGACACATTCCTCTGCCAGCCTGACTTGATCCCCATCATACCAAGTGATGTCTCACCCCAGGCCTTTGAAGCTGGGATCAAGAGCCCACATCCAAACCAGAATCCCAAGATTTCTGCAGAAATACTCACACTTTTCTCTTCACGCTCTCAGTCAATTGTTGCACAGAGGCCCAGAAGGAGGAGTTAGGCAAGGGGCACACTGACCAGAATTCTGCTCCACTTCATTTTTAAATGAACTGAGCAGAGGCCTTGATGACTTGCCCATGACCTTTAACACTACCAAAAGAACTCCTTCCTTCTTTAATACAAAAATGTACCAAACTGACTGGGTTAATCTCATAGAAATGTAATGCTACTCTGTAGATTCAAACATTTTGCAGTGCTTGCCTGAGCTAGATAGTTTAGTTGGTTGGAGCATTGTCCTATACACCAAAAATGTTACAAGTTTTATTCCAGGTCAGGGCACATATGTAGGTTGAGTTCATCCCTGATTGGAGTGCGTTCTGGAGGCAACCAATCAATGTTTTTCTCTCACATTGATGTTTCTCTCTTTCTTCCCCTCTCCCCTTCCTCTCTCTCTAAAATCAGTAAAAAAAACATATCCTCAGGTGAGATTTTTAAAAAAAACATTGTAGAGGACATGTGATATATAATGAAGTAAGCAGGGGCTTCAGAACCAACAGTCTTAGTTTACCTTCTAGCTTTACCATTCTTTTATTCAAAAACTTAGGGGAGTTGTTCCAGAGTCTACTTCCTCATCTGTAGAATAGAATAAATACCACCTCTACTCACATGACTATGGTAAGGATTTCATGAGATAAACAATATAAAGTGTACAGCAAAGGGCCTAACAAATAGAAAGCACCCCATGATTGTTAGTGCCTTCCCCACTATTTAAATATATCTTTATTGATTTTAGAGAGGAAGGGAGGAGGGAGAGAGAGAAACATCAATGACGAGAGAGAATCATTGATTGGCTGCCTCCTGCATGTCCCCTACTGGGGATCAAGCCCACAACCTGGACATGTGCCCTTGACAGGAATCAAACCTGGGACCCCTCAGTCCACAGGTTGACGCTCTGAGCCAAACCAGCTAGGGCTGAACATATATTTTAATAAGCTTATTTCAAAACTGATGTAACTACCATAACCACCTTAATATAAGAGTCATTAAATTTTATATATGCAATGTAAAATACACACCTTAGGAAGCAAATGCATTTTAGAAACAAATTTTGAGAGATGTGCAAGGAGGTTTAGAAACATTTAAGTAAGTATAGAAGCAACTTAGGTGTCAAACCATACTGAAATATACCGAACTCAGAGGTATTCAAACAGAGATTAAATTGTGTTTCACTAATCTGATCGATCAGAATACACCTTAGGTATTCCAATATCCAATACAATAGGGTTAGAGGCCAAGTCATTTAAAAATATTTTTAAATTTCTAACTTTTGTTTTAACAAATAAATAAATAGGAATGATTTCAAAACATTCTAGATTTAAGATAGGGTGATCAGCTTATTTTTAGGGACCAGTGGGTTCAAACTTCTACTCTAAATAAAACACTTCTTCTTTTCCACTTTATTGCATGCTTCTCTTTAAGGTGCAATGTCCTAGGCTCTTAGAGGCTAATTTTGAGACTATGCTCTAGCCTACTTTCTCAACCTTTTCCATGTCAGGACATGCACAGAAAATGATAGCATCTGTAAGGCATATGCACACAAACTGAAGAGGCTTCTCAGGGCCAGAAGGGATCTGCTTGGAGGCTCTAACCACCCTTAGGCTGAGATTATTATCTCAACCCACATGTAATCCATTCATGGCTCCCCTGATGGGAAGCCATGCTCACCAATCTTTTACATGGTTATCTAGCAATGTAGGAGGAAGTCCTCCTACTCCAATGCCCACTTGTTTGAACAAAAGACTGGAAGTCATCAACCACCTGAAAGGGCCAGCAGAATTATCTGGCAATTTAAGATGCCACTCCTCTGAGAATCTGCAGTTTATAATACCCCTAATGCTCTGAAACCTATCAGAGAAAATAGATGCCCAAATCTTTATTTCTATCCTATGTAAAACTGTCTGTTCCACTGCCATTCTATAACCCCAGGGAGCAGCCAGTCAACAGTATAACATGAAGGAACCTAAAATGAATTAAATTAAAAGAGAGAAATGCCAGAAATAGATGAGTCTGAGTAGAGGGTGGTAAAACAGCATTGCTGAATATGTACAAGCAATAGTCAACTGCTTAAAATGTACCTGGATCCAGAGCATATGATTAGCTACTACTGACTAAAAATGTTTCCATGGTCGCTTCCAGGTCTCTGATTTCAAGGTTGCCCAGGCAGAAAAATAATTACAATAAAGTATTTCACTTCAGCAGTCTTGAACACATGTTTAAGATCACAGTAAGAGCTCAAAGACAGGAGCAGGCAGACAAAATATCTTGAAGTATTCTTTTTTTAAAAAAAATGTTTTTGTTGATTTTTAGAGAGAAAAACATTGATGTGAGAGAGAAACATCAATCATGTGCCTCCTACACACACCTCCAGCAGGGATCAAACCCGCAACCTAGCCATGTGACCTGACCAGCTATTGAACCAGCGACCCTTCGATGCTTGGGACAATGTTCAACCAACTGAATCACACCAGCTAGGGCTTGAGGTATTCTTATAAAATCACTTACATATTACTGTTCATACAATTAGAAAGTTAAAACTTTTCATCTTCCTTGTAGACACCCAAAATACAAAGATGTATTTATATAAGGCTATCAGTTGCATCATTATTTGTAACTATAATATGTTGAAGACAACCTAAATGCCCTAACATAGGAGAGTGTTTGAATTCGATGTGACACATCCACAAATGGGAGTACTATGAAACTATTAGTGCTATCCAAAATATACTGTTAAATGAAAGAAGTCCAAAAGAGTATACTTAAGCTTGCGACTTTTTGTGAGAGAAAATAAGAAAAGACTCCTATATTTTCATAAAAAAAAAAAAGAAATGCAGGAAGGATAAATCAAAATAATTGGTTGTCTACAAGGAGTGAGTGGGAATGAGTGGAGGGGTTGGGTAGTAACACTTCTAGATACAGTTTTCATTTTTGGAACCATGCTAATGCTTTACATACTCAAAAAGTAAATAAAAATCAGCAAGGATGATGTGCAAAAACATCTAAAATGGAAATTAAACAAAAACAAATGAACTTAACTGTATGTCAAATAAATAATATGTGTAGTAACAGGAGGGAGACTAACCCAAATAACTTTTGAACATATACTTTATAAAGACAAAAAGAACTATAAAGAAATACTGACCTCTAGTTATAAGGGTTTTCTTTGCAGTGGTATGGGTTAGCAGTTCTGGAACTACTTTCTCTGATTATGGCATTGAGCAAATGAGTACATATGTTGGGGATAATGGGAACCAGATTATCAGTGTTGGAAAAGGGCATTACAAGTAAGGAAAAGGGCAAGACTACATCTGTAGTGTGAAGTTGGAATTATAGGCATCAATATAAACTATTGGTTTTACACATACACACACACACACACACACACACACACACACACACGTATAGACATGTATATTTGTTTTTCTTAGCTCTTATCCACTGAGAGATCTTAGCTTATAAACATCATTTATTCCCAACAAAAAGAAATGAGTGCTACTTAGAGAAATGGCTGATTGCAAGGGCAGGCTGAGTACAAGATGAGCCTGGAGCATCTTGCTGTGCCAGAGTAAGAAAGAGCTCAAAGAGCCATAGAAACTTGTCAGAATTATGGCTCTAGGGGTTTCCCACTAGCCAAATCTAGGACATTTTGAGCCTCAAAATAAATAACAAAATAACGCAAAATAAAGTAAAAATCTGAGTCCATACTAATAAATAAACAAGTGGGAGAGAAAGGAAAACTTTCTCTCATAGAATATCAACTAATATGTTTAGAAGAAATACAAATTAGAAGATCAACATCTTGCAACTGCCCTAATAATTACTGATTCAGTCAAGAATTATCAACGTGTGATAAGTTTAGGTGAAAGTTTGGTAACGAACAGGATATATATACGTACACACAAGGTGGAGCAAAAGTAGGTTTACAGTTGTATGAGAAACAGTTTATTCTTGTATTATTATTTATTAATTACTGTATCATTTTCCACAAGAACAACCATAAACCTACTTTTGCCCCATCCTGTGCATATATATGATCTCAAAGTCACTCTTGTATGAAAAGACAAAAATAAAATAGATCTTTGAAGAAAACCTCTAGTCTGACAGAATCTTTTTAAAAAGAGAAAGAACCCAGAAGAAACAGAAACAATGTAAGGAGCAAGGAAAACTTTAAAACAAACTCAAAAACCCTGGAGTAATCAGAGAAGATACTGCAAAACAACAGCAACAGAATGTATGAAAAAGCAATGATCAGAAAAATGAGAAAAAAGCTCTTGAGAATTAAAAATATGATTATCAAAAGTCAATAGATGGGTGGAAGAAAAAAAAACCAAAGAAATATCTCAGAACTAGAACCAAAAGGCAGAATATTACAGGTTCTACTCAGGATATCCAACATTCAATTAGTAGCAGTTCCAGAAAGGAAAAGTACAAATTAGGAGATGTAAGTATGGGAGAATGAGTGTGCTATCAAATGTGTAGATTGAAAGATCTCTTGAGTACCCATCACAATAAAGGAAAACTACCCATGCCAAAACAAGTCATTTTGAAATTTCAGAAGATAAAATACCTATTCTAAAAGCTTCCAAGAAAAAGAATTACAGAATATATATATATATATATATATATATATATATATATATGTAAAGAAATAGTAATCAGAAAGGCATCAGGTTTCTCAACAGCAACACTAGAAAACTAAAAACAAAAGAGCAATGACCTCATAATTCTAAGAGAAAAATCTTTTCTAATAGTCTAGAGTCAGCCAAGCAATCCTATATAATAAAAGCCTAATATGCCAAGTGTCCGTTCATTCGACCATTTGACCAGTTCCTATGACACACACTGACCACTAAGGGGCAGATGTTTGGACTGGTAGGTTAGCTTGCTGCTGGGGTCCAGCAGATCAGGACTGGGCGAGATGAGCCGGACACACCCTGGAGCCCTCCCATGGTCCCTCCCCGGCCCCAAATGTGCACCAGTGGGGTCCATCAGCCTGTCCTGCACCCTCTCACAATCCGGGACCCCTCGGGGGATGTCCACAGGCCAGGTCAAGGGACCCCACCATGCACGAATCTGTGCACCAGGCCTCTAGTTAAATATAAAGGTAGAATAAAAGCATCAGACTTGCATGGGGTCAAAAAGTAACCTTCTACGGGAAGAGAGCTCAATGATATACCCCAGCAAAACAGTTAATAAACCAAGAAAGAGAAAGACAAGGGATCCAGGAAGTAGATCTAATACAGAGAATAGCAAGGGAATCACAGGATAAGAACTGTCCAATAGGCCTAAGGAACAATTACTTCAAATGGGAACAAGAGGGCTCTGGGAAAGAGGGCTTCAGAAAAACACAGTGGTAAGAGATTATCTCCCTGTATGAGTGCTTGGAAAATAATATTCGTGGACATTTGGCAGACGTATAAAGTACACTTGGGAGAAAGCATGTAGAAGGTGAACTAAGCAATTTTTTAAAAAGGCAATTATTTACTCAAGGAAAAACAAAATGCTGGACAAAAAAGAAAAAGCAATCACCATATTAATCAGAATTTGCCATCAAATTACATTGAGAAATGGAGAGGGGGGCAGAGAGAAGGGTGGTGCAACCATGAATGTCCCACCTACCATAGCAAGATGTCGAGAGATAATGCCTAAAATTGATAAATTAAGAAATAAGAGTGTATTACTTAGCAGTATGCAGGAAAATATGAGAGAAAAAGCTAAGGAGGGCTTAAAGTGGTTGTCTGTGGACAGTAGGACTGAGGGTGAAGGGGTGGGAAGGAGATTACTGTTCTATTTTAAACCTTTTGATACTGACTTACGGTTTATATGTTTTACTTTTTGAAAGCATGAATTAATATTTATAAGGTAAACTGACATATAACAGTTATATCAATTCATGAGACTGCCCAAACTTTATCTTTTTTTTTTTAAAAAAAAAGTATGCCTAAAATCCACTATATGGCATAAAAATTAAAATAGCAGTTTATCATTTGGGACCAATTCCCTATAAACTGTAAGGCTAATTTGCAGAACTTAATATGTGTCCTCTAACTAGAGAAAGTAATTTCAAGCTGGCAAAATTTGTCATGCATATGTTAACAGATCCAGATACCTACAGAGCCAGAAAAGAGAGGGCATCTGGTCCTGCTGACTTCCCACATAGAGGCAAATTTCGATCCATAAGGCTGGTCCCCTCACCGGTTCAAGCACTTTAGTTTTGAAATGGATTTTTGAAATCAGTTTTCAACATCAAATGAAAACAACATATGGAAACAATATGTGAAATCACATATTCTCAAAAACTGTAATGCACTAAACAAATTCGTTATTATTCATTCTGTCACAAACTCAGACTTGTTCAGACCTAGTTTGGGGAAAAACACCTAATGAGGCTATTATGCTATAGCTACCAGTCTTCAGCTAAATACTGGACCTGTGCCCCTACCTCCAAATGAGGGGAAAGGGTAATGGGGAGAAGGATTAATACTACTAAAGCCAAAGCAGATTACAAAATCAGAGTCAAAATGGGCCACTTTTGCCTTTGGAAGACCAGACACAAATAACTACAGAAAAATTACCAGTTTACATTGTTTCAAAAATAACTTCCCCCATGAAGCTAATTATGTGGAGAATGAACACAAAAAACATGAATCACTTAAGAAAAATTCTGACATCCAATATTTTCATTTATTTAATATAGCAAGATCTGATGCAACTGCATGCTTTTGCCAACAACTTGAGTAAGCAAAGCCAAGGTTAAACAGCAGTGTGATGTTCAAAAGAAATGAATCAAATCATAAATGTAAATACCACACAACTATTATTTAAAAATAATTGCAAGTGTATGCAATATAAGATTCTTATGTATATATTTTTATAGGAAGCACTCCCTCCCATAAATAAATTTTAAAAAACTAAGAGTTTGAGGGACCTCTTATGATCAGACTTTACTCAGAGAACAATGTGTTTAATATTTACATTATACAAGTCTCTTCCTATTTTTTGTGATTATATAATAAAGGTAAGTGCTAAAGCACATGGGGAGATTACCACACATGTATTTATTGGTGTGCTGGGAAACTCTTTATTCTTTTAAAATCAATGGGGACTATTTATGAAGAAGTGGGAAATACATATATAACAACTGGGCACAGACTTATACTCTGCTTAAAGGGCTGGATACCCAATATTACCAAAAATAGGCACCTGCAGACTCCAGCCGCTGTTGTAATTATTTATAGCCAATAGACACAATTTTAAAATATGACACACATTTCCCCAAGAATCTCTATTATTAATTCAAAGGTGAAAAAAACACAAACACCTGAAAATATTTTTTAAAATGTATTTCTATTGATTTCAGAGAGAAAGGGAGAGGGAATGAGAGATAGAAACATCAATGATGAAAGAGAATCATTGTTTGGCTGCCTCCTGCATTCCCTACACTGGGGATTGAGCCCCACAACCTGGGCATGTGCCCTGACCAGGAATCGAACCCTGACCTCCTGGTTCATAGGTTGACACTCAACCACTGAGACATGCCAGCTGGGCTGAAAAAATATTTTTTACATGAAGCTCTAAAAATACTACTATATACAAACAAAACACTTGAAAAAATGAAACTAATACAGTAAAACTCTCAGCATTAAATTTTCATGGTACAGCCCTGCCGGTGGCTCAGTTGGTTGGAGCGTCTTCTGGTACATCAAAAAGGTTGTGGGTTTGACCCCATTTGGGGCTCATACTGGAGGCAACCTATGTTTCTCTCTCTCTCTCTCTCTCAAATCAATTTAAAAAACATATCTTCGGGTGAGGATTAAAAAATAATATTCTCATAACATGAACGTTGGTAGCTACATCATATACGTAAGGTGAAACTTGAGTTCTTAGTTGTTGCAGAGCAACTGTTAACACATCTATTAACATTCAGAATAATTCAGGTGAAAACTAGAGTTAATCTCAAGTCAAAGGACATTTTATTGTATGACACTAAAACATACATACATAAATATTAATAATAAATGTCAGCCACAAAGTTTTAAGTTATATAAAAGTTATTTCCAAAAAATATTATATCAAAACATTTCTCTAACATGTTACCTATCAATTATCCCAAGGAAACATTCTATCACAATAATTTGTTTACTAAAAGTTTCAGGTTGATCTTCAAAACTTTGATTAAGATAGTACAATCCCAATATTGTG